TCCTTCTTCTGTGAAGCCAGTGGTTGACCGGGAGGGCTAAGTGTGCAAGGAGCCATTGCATACTTCGGATTCTAACTGGTCTCATAAGAAGGTATTTGGCCCATGGGATGGAGAATTGGGCCCGTGGGTCCAGATTCAGGCTGGTCTGCCATTTCTCTACCAACCTTGGATTTGGATCTGTGGTCTGTAGTCCGAGGTCGTATCCGAATTTTACATCGTATTGGGAAATTGTTCTCGACTTCTCTGTGGTGAACTATTTCCACCTCCATTCCTTGGGGTCAAGTTCTCGGTCTTCGATACTGAGTTTTGGTTGGGATATGACCCATGATCTGTTCTGGGAGACTCGAACCTTCCTGAGGAGGAAGGTTTCTAGTCACGTGGCTTGGGGGTCCTTAATCTGGATTACGATCTCCTGAAGGGTATGGTTGGCAATAGGGTAGGATAAGAAGTCCGATCGGCTCTGGCTTGTTTCTTTTTTTATGTTTGCACCATGGGCCCATATCGTTTGTTTTTGAAAATTTCGACGAATTTCACGCCGAAATTGCCAGCAAAAAACGCCGAATACTTGGCCTCCCGTTGACCATCTCTCGTCCCAATCGCCTGTTTTCCAAGTAAATGTTTCTCTGAGGAGCGTTAACCATTGGGCAGGGACGCTGTGATGCATCGCTGCTAAGTTGGTTTCAAGTGTGTGGCATCCCCTGAGGGAGGTTCGGAGTTCCTGGCCCGTCAACCAGTCCTTCCGTTCCGCTGACCACATGTGTTTGAGTTGCCATACTCCTCTCTCCACCCATGTGAGTCATCTCCTATCTCTCGCGTAGAGGGACCAGGGGTGACCTGCTGTAACTTTGATCTAGGGGTCGCGGAAGAGGGGTTGTCTGGTGGCCCATGTTTGTTGGGCATCACTCGGCGCCAGGCTTTCAGAGTTGGCGTCCAGTATGGGTTAGGAGACGGGGTGGGTTGACTGGTTAGTTGCTGCTGGGTTCTCCTTGATGTCTTCCCTGTTTTGATTGCCTTAATCCAGAAGGGGCCTTGCATATTGGATGGGGAGCTTATTAGAGCGAAGTTCCTTACATTGTCCAAGGCCAATTTCGACCATGGGAGGAATTGTTCGGTGAGAATCTTAATTATCCATTTCATCTGCAAGGCGATAGTTTCCTGTCTAGGGTCAATGATCCCCATTCCTCCTTCTTGCGCTTTCCTAATGACAATTTGTCAGGAAACCTTGTTTATGCAGGTAGTTTTGTTGGGGTCGCCCGTCCTCCTTCGTGAGGGGGGGACCAAATGGAGGGCATGTACCATAGCGTGGAGAATATTGACGTGTTTATAATAAGTGTTCTGCCAAACAGTGATGCCTGGGCTCTCTTACATGGGCTAGGCGGGTTATTGCCTTTGCAATTAAGGTTTGGCCCATCCCTGGTCATGTGTCGTCCTTGGGAATCATGAATATTGACGTGTTTATAATAAGTGCTCTGCCAAACAATGGTGCCTGGGCTCTCTTTGTGGCGGACCCACCAGGTGTGGTGCTCCGCTTGGGATGATGATGGAGATGGAGGATGAGGGAGGAGCGAGATGGCACAGCGCAGCTCCCACGCATGACTCCAGCGCGCGTGCTCCAAAACTGTGCGAATGTAGAATGCGACAGAAAACAGACAACTGCTAGGGTATACTCCAGTGGACTGACGGGACTGGACTGGACTGGCTGGTACCGACAGAGGTACCGGGCTGGACTGGACTGCCCCGAATAGAACACAAGCCTGTGAGAACAGGCCAAGGGGCTGGTCTCACAGGCCAACCAGAGGTCCGCTAGACGATCCTCAGCCTGTGATGGATCGCCTAGATACAAGCACGCTTCCACCAAGAAGCGGAACTCTACCAAAGAAAAAGAAAACCTGAGTAGTCTAGGATGCGGAGCAAGCTCCATGTTGAGTCCATGCGATGCAACCTAGGATAGAAAATGTCACAAAACAGCAATGTCATAGCTAACAGCCTAAGTGAAGGCAGAAGCAACTAACTAGCATACATGTCATAGGAAAGCAGAAGCAACTAACTAGCATACATGTCCAAGGAAAGCAGAAAGTAATGACAACTAGATCCTAGAAGGTTGGAGGCAGTAGCCTCATTCTGGGAACAACTAACTAGTGTATAAGTCCTAAGAACAGCAAAAGCAGAACAACTAAATCCTAGAAATGTCAGAGGCAGAAGCCTCAGTCTGAGAGCAACAAAGCAACCATATGTCACATGAGGAGTGTGTCGCGAACCAAAGGGTGGGATAGTCTCTGAGGGTGGCGAATGCAGCCTAGGGGTCGATAACTCCTAAGGGCATCCACACATAGTGACAGGGGGAACACATGTCATCAGGCTCAATGAGGGTAGGGAACTGGGAGCGAACAGAACCAATGTTACCCCCTAGCCGCAATCGAGTTCCGCCGTGGCCGCGGTCGGGCCCCTTGTCGGCCGCGGCTGAACGTGGCCGATAATTTCGGTGGAGGCCGCGGCCGATCGGGGAGGGGGTTTGGGGGGCGGGGAACAGGTTTCGAGTCGGGGGGGGTCCCCCTACCTCCTCGCAAAAAAAAAAACATAAAAACTTCAAAAATGGGGGGGTGGATTTCGAAGATTACCAAAAATAAAAATAAAAATAGATTTTTGTTTTTTTTTCATTGATTGACTGTTTTTTTTTTATTGATTGATTGATTGATTGATTGATTGGTTGATGGATTGATTGATTGATTGATTGATTGATTGGTTGGTGGGGGAGGGGTCCTCCCTCCACTCCACAACGCGTGCACCTCTCTCTCTCTCTCTCTCTCTCTCTCTCTCTCTCTCTCTCTCTCTCTCTCTCTCTCTCTCTCTCTCTCTC